AAATTAATCACATCTTAAGGACATTTCAAACATTCCAAGTATTTAAACTGCATCTTAAGAACAATAATAATTGGTTTTAAGTGATTGTATATATTATTAATCCTGTCATGCTGGTAGGTTACGAAATTACGCCCTATCTAGCTTACCTAATTAGCATTCAAACGTGTTTACTGCAAATAATAATAATGGAAGGTTCTTGTACAGCGCACTTATACATCGTCTCAATGCGCTTTACATTTATGACCAGTGGAAGACTTTGTGGTCTCCATATTAAGGCGCAGCCTTTAATCGTAAGTGATTAATTAGTAGATTAGTATCATGCCTCCAAATTAGAATAGGTTGTTGTACCGGTTCCCCAGTTCTTACCTCCACCAATAAGTTCCTTCTGACCGCATCAGCAGCATCATAAGACTGTGCTTGTACCACTATGGGGATGTTACCCAGTGTCTTGGGAATGACAGGAAAGGCAATAGCTTTGCCTTGTCCAGCAGGTACTGTCACCACCTCTTTCATGTCCCCTTCCTGACCGCGGGCTCCTAGTTCGTTGATGGCTGACCAGTGTTCGGAAGCTTTGAATGTGATGGTGACCTGCAATGCAAACAACATGTTACAAATGACGTGTTAAAGTGTGCCCAAGTGACGATGTAACGAAATTATTTTCTTCTTACAAAATTTAGGATTTTGGTGACATTGTCAGAAAATGCTTGTTAAGTATGATATAGTGTAAAATTAGGGGCCGATATAAAGAAAAACAACTAAGATATAGGATAATGTAATGCAGAAATATCCCCTAACATTTTTAAGTAAATTGCATGGGGGTTTATTCCAGTTCTAAGGCTAGTAACGGCCTCAAAGTTGGCAGAAACCTAGGCGATTTTCTCGTCCAATATCGACATTTCAAAACTAGATTGTAAAATTCGGAAACAGAGTCACTCGAGTTGCATCTCCATTGTGGGTTCTAAAGGGTAGGGTAGTCCGTTCAACCCCAAGCTAACCCCTATTATGAGGGCAGGGTAGATAGGACCTAACCCACCCCCTCCAAGAAGTTTGTCAAGAAGGACTCAACTCCAGGGGGAGGGTTATGGAAAATTTAGCTCAAAAGTATGACTGCTTCGCCATGAACATTGAACATCAAGGAGTAAGTTATCAACACATAACATTATAAAATAACTGTTATGAATGTCGCATTCTGATTGGTTTTGACCGCGTGCTTTATGAGAGCACATTGCACGCGCGTGCACTTTCCGTTGCGTCATTCCTACCTATTATTGTAATTTGTATTTTATAAAAAATCAAAAACTTGCTTGCTGTGCTGTGTGCAGTCATGAAGCACTTGGGGATTGGCAGAACACTCGAGAAGTATCCAGAAGCACTCCGCCAAACGTCGTGCTTCTCCTAACACTTCTCTCGTGTTCTGCCAACACCCGCGTGCTTTATGACAGCACAATATTAATATCAATATTACCTCTTGAGGGTCCTCTAGGTAGTTGAAGACAAGTGCTGTTATGGCCACTTCCTCTCCACGTACAACAGAATAAGGTAGGGAAAGAGACACGAAGAATGGCTGGAAAACTTGTAACTACAAGAGAAACCAAATCAATTGTTTGAGTCTTTTTGTACTAAATGCTTTGTTTTTGAACAGAGAAAACAACTGTCTTTGGAAAGCATTGTGAAAATTGAATTACAGGGACCACGGAGGGATGGGGCTACAGGAGCTTTGCCTGCCCCCTTCCCCCCCCCCAAAAATGTCCTTGAGGGCAAAATGTATTCCTAGGTAATATTTATAATTTGCAACCAGAGTTGAAACTGAGAATTTTTCTCTAATTTTTTATTTGCCCCTCCCCTTATCTAAACTGCGCTACGCGATCCCCAATAATAGAGTAAATGTTGATAGATTGTGAAAACATCACGGTACCAACGTGCTGTGACCGTGACGGTGCTGAGGTCAAGCATTTTGATTGGATAGGCAAAGATCTCGAGCGCTGTGATTGGTTCACATGATTTTTTCTATTCCAAATAGTATTACCGTGCTGTGCCATTTCAAGGTCACAAGAAATCTGCTCTAAGCCCATGATAAGCGAGTGAAAGTGTTAGCGCACTTCGTTCGTTTCCGCGGCCAGGAAGAGCAGAATGCTATTACTAAGAGACTGCTCATAAAAAAGGGGGTGGGGGTAGAGGGCAAAACTAGATTTGAAGGAGCTTATTTTTTGCTGGCCCATTATAAAACTAAGTCGAAAACATTATGCCCCCCCCCCCCCCAATTTTCCACGCAGAAAATGAAATATGATCCACTTCTAATGTAACGTTTTATAGACAGCCCACCCTTTTTAAGAAGCATGAAATTGTGTGACCCACTCCCTGTTCACCC